TTGTTTTTACGGCTTCTCACTTAGCAGTTACCCGAGACTACCCCAAGGGGTTGTTGTTTTTAATATGTTTTTAGGAGCTAAGATCTCTCCTTAGTGTGTTCTTAGGAGTATCATTAGTTTGCAGTGCATTTAGAGGACTTTGATCGCCAGTTACCATAACAAATCACAGGAAAGCTCATTCAGGCAACATCTTGTTAACTATATAAAGCAGAAAGCTATTGAATTAGCTGCCTTGAAGTAATAAATTCCAGACAGTAAAGTTGCTGTTAGTTTTAGTGGCTACTTTATCTCAAACTGCTATTGAATAGAAAATTTTGATTTCACAGAAAAGCAGCTTTTCTGTACCCTGAGTGCTAAAGTGATAAGATTATAAAATTAAAAAGACACTTGTCTCCTTTAAATATTGACTTTCTATTAATTTTTTAAGACTCAGAACCACATTTTTTTTGCCTATACATAAGTCTAATAAAAACCTAAATCCCTTGTTCAGTTGTTTTTCTCTACAAATACTAAAGCAATTTATTGTGTTCTGCTTTTCAATCCAGTATGGGAAGAACTGGTGTTTGTGCATGTGTGTGTATGTGTGTGTTTAAAGTGCCGTAGAGTTCATAAAGTGATTTTACATGCTGTATCATTTGTTTCTCATAAGAACTTTTGATATGGATAATGATTATCTTCCTTTATATATGATACTATATCCTATAGGCCAGTGTCTTCAAAATTATTTAAGTATACAAGGTGTTTATTTAATTAGTCATGTAATTATTTTAACACATTTTAGAAAAATAATTACTAATATAGACATTTTTAGTATATAATATATAACATCAAACTCATGGTCTTACTGATCTTATTGTTTAGCATAAGGACTTAGCTAACTGAAAGAGATTTTTTAAAGAGATAATAATAATATAATAGTGATAATGTGACAAAAATAATGAAAGTGATACAGAAATGAATGAAGTATAAGAAATATACCTATATACTATAGCGGAGATAAAGGTAGATTTTTAAGAACTGAGGGTAAGTTTAAGACATGTTTATGTGTTTCTTGACAAAATGAAAAGAACGGCTTTAAGGAAGGAAATTTTAGAAGCTCATGCATGAATACTCGTGTGTGCCTTGGACGAAGCCATTTTTAATTGATACATATCTGTAATCTGTTTATAAGTCAACCAAACCAGGTTCTTCTTCAAACCTTCAAGAAATACCTTCATATTACTTTCATATAGTATGTTTTCAAGCCTCTCCCAAGCCATCTTTGATTACCTTTTAGTCTCTGCATCTTTGATTACCTTTTAGTCTCAGTTTTGTTTTGTTTTGTTTTCCAGTTTTTTCAGCTAGTCTTTCTAAATCTCAAAGTTATCAAAATACTCCTTCTTTTAAAATATCTGTTTAGAATTTAACTGGGTTCTATTCCAGAAAGATATAAAGATTCTTAAGGTGTACAGCTCTGCGTGGGAGAGAAAATTCCCTTCAATGAGATTATGGAGTATCGGTCCTCAAAATAGAAATCCATTTTAATTGTAAAAAGGCTAACTCACATGCACTGCTTTGTTCTCTCTCTCTCTCTCTCTCTCTCTCTCTCTCTCTCTCTCTCTCTCTCTCTCTCTATC